GCTGCTGCTGGAGTGTGAGGTGAGCCCGGCGGGTGCCCCTGTGCACTGGCTGAAGGATGGCGAGGCTGTGGTGCCCAGCGAGATCCTGAGCATCCAGTCAGAGGGATGCTGGCGGAGGCTGCACATCCCCACGGCTGTGCCATCGGACTCGGGGACGTACACATGCGATGCTGGGGACGACACCGTGAGCTTTGTGGTGACCGTGAGCGGTGAGCTGCTGGGGTTGCCCATCCTTGCATGAGGCTCACCCACTCCACGTCACCACACTGAGCCTTTTGTCCTGTGCAGAGGCACCAGTAAGGATTGTCAGCTCCAACGAGGAGACCCCGCACACCTATGTGGCCGGGCAGCGTGTGGAGCTGTGGTGCCAGCTGTCCCGTGCCGAGGCCCCAGTGCGCTGGTACAAGGATGGGGAGGAGGTGGAGGAGGGTGAGAGCCTGGTGCTGGAGCGTGAGGGGCCGCGGTGCTGCCTGGTGCTGCCCTGCGCCCGCCTGCAGGATGCAGGGGAGTTTGTCTGTGACACTGGAGACACTGCTGCCTCCTATCACGTCATGGTGGCAGGTGGGTGACACAGCTGGGACAGCATTTGGGGAAGTGTGCTGCTGCTGATCTATGGGCTCCTGGAAGGGGCTCTTGGCTGTGGCACTTGTGCACAATAAGCACATGTGCACCTCTGCTGACATGGGGCATTTTCCCTCTGCTCCTGCCCTCCAGCTGTTGCGTCACTGCGCTGGGGCAGTGCCCCGGCACCTGCACAGCCCTGTGGTTAGGGTTGCAGTGGGGGTAAGCAGGGATATGTGCATTCTTACCTCCTTCCTTTGTGCACTGGCAGAGCCACGAGTGAGGATTTTGCACCCTGTGCAGCGCTCGCTGGAGCTGCCAGTGCTGGCGCCGGGGCACGTGGAGCTGCGCTGTGAGCTGTCTGTACCTGATGCTGCCGTGCGCTGGTTCAAGGATGGGCTGGAGGTGGATGAGACCAACAACCTGCGACTGCTGGCTGATGGTGCCTGGCGCTGCCTGCTCATCCCCAGGAGCAGTGCTGAGGACACAGGGGAGTACATCTGTGAGAGCAAGGATGAAGCTGTCTCATTCGATGTCAAGGTGACAGGTTAGTGAGGAAGCACCGGTGCACCCCCCCTCCCCCCACTCATCTCCTGTGCCATGTTGCACCAGTGCCATGCTGTTCTTGTAGAGCCCCCAGTGAAGATCCTGCAGCCACAGAGACCTCCACCTGTTGTAAAGGTGTCCCCAGGGGAGACGGTGATGCTGTCCTGTGAGTTGTCCCGTGCTGATGCACCCGTGTGCTGGGCCAGGGAGGGTGTCCGGCTGGAGGCGGGGGGCAGCTGGGTGCTGGAGGAGGATGGTGCCCACCGTCGCTTGCTCATCCCTGCTGCTCAAGCTGAGCATGCTGGAAAATACTTCTGCGATGCGGCTGATGATGCGGTGACATTCACTGTCCAGGTGTCAGGTGAGTGAGAACCTGGGGCACGGGGTGCATAGGTAGGGCAGGGTGGCAGCAGCCCCCTCCCCTTAGGATCCCACTCTGGGTCTGCTCTCACGTGGGGGCTCCTGGCCAATGCTAACAGTGGCTCTGTTGGCGAGCGGTGCCACAGACCCTCCAATCAGGATCCTGGAGAAAGATGCACTGCCAACCTGCCGACGCTGCCGGGCCATGGAGGATCTGGTGCTGGAGGTGCAGCTGTCACACGCCCATGGAGAGGTGAAGTGGTACAAGGACGGGGAGAAGCTGCAGGACACGGGGCATGTGCGGCTGGAGGAGGATGGGCAGCGCCGGGCACTTGTCATCCTGGGTGCCACAGATGGGGATGCGGGGGAGTACCTCTGTGACACCCGAGATGACAGTGTCATCTTCTGTGTCACCGTGGAAGGTAACAGGGAGCATATAAGGTGGAGATGGGCTGAATGGGCAGGCAAGCACCCAGTGTCACAGTGTGTCTCTCCAGCCCCAGAGCCACCAGTGAGCATCGTGGGGAACCTGGGCACCACAGAGCATCGCTGCCTGGTGGCTGGGCAGGACCTGGTGCTGGCCTGTGAGCTGTCCCAGCCTGATGCTGCCGTGCGCTGGCTGCGGGATGGCCAGGAGCTGCAGCCAGGGGAGCGGGTGTGCACTGTGGCCCGTGGGGCACTGCGGGAGCTCACTGTGCGTGGAGCACAGCCTGGGGACTCAGGGTACTACATCTGTGATGCTGCCAGCGACCGCATGGTGACGAGTGTGGAGGTGACAGGTGAGCGAGGGTGGCAGGACCATGGTTGGCAGCACCAGGTGAGGGCGAGAGCCCTGTCTCCAAAGAGCTGTCAGCTTGGAAGGGGCAGGTCAGGGCCATCAGACCCATGCCTCCCAACTCCCCCACGCGGAGGCTGGTTAAATTTATCCTTGGCAGGCTCCCAGGCGCCTCTCCTCCTGCTTTGGCTGCCAAGGGCTGAGCTCAGCAAGGCCTTTATCAGCACTGCAGGCTGTGCGGGTATCCCAGCTCCCAAAAAGGTCTGGGGCTGGTGAGGGGCAAAAATCCATGACCTTAATTCAGCAGCTGTGAAGGATGGAGGAGTGGGCTCTGCCAGCATCCCTGCTGGGATCCCTTCCTCAGAGGGACCTTAGCTGCCAGTCTCAGTCAGCCAGTCCCACAGACACCCAGCCAACTCATGCCACCATGATCACCATTAGCCCCATGGCAACTGAAGCCCCTAAATCGCACCAGTGGGCACTGCAGCCATCCCTGCCATCAGCAGTGCCACCCCTGCCCATGTCTCCCAGCCCAGGCTGTGCGAATTGTGAACAAGGAGGAAGCACAGAGCCCACTGGAGGTGCAGGAGGGAGACAGTGTGACGCTGGTGGCCCAGCTGTCCCCAGAGACAGCGGCAACACAGTGGCAGAAGGATGGGCAGATGCTGCTCTCAGGTGGGCGGCTGCTGGTGTGCAGTGAGGGTCCAGCACGCAGCCTTACCATCAAGCAGGTGGAACTGGGGGATGCCGGCACCTTTCTTTGCGATGCTGGGGACGACGAGGTGTACTTCACACTGCATGTGAAAGGTGAGCCTATGGAGATGCCCCCTGCAGAGCAGGACCTATGTCCCCAACCCTGGGCTGAGCTCTGCTCCTGGTGCAGAGGCACCGGTGCTGTTTGTGAACAAGCAGGAGGAGCGGGAGAAGCTGCTGGTGCTGGAGGGTGGTAGTGCCGTGCTCTCAGCTGTCGTGTCCAAGGAGCGAGCTGACATCACCTGGCTGTGCCCCCAGCAGCTCATGGTACCCAGTGAGCGCTGCCAGTTGCGTTGTGATGGCCGTGTGCACAGCCTGGTCCTCAGCAATGTGGCCAAGGAGGATGCTGGAGTCTACACCTGCCTGTCCCCTGATGACCAGATGCAGTTCGACATCAGCGTGCGGGGTGAGTGCTGGTAGCAGGGGGATGCACAGCATGGTGCTGGGGGTATGTGCACGCTGATGGCTGTCTGTGCAGAGCTGCAGGTGAAGTTCCTGCGTGGGCTCTCGGATGTGCGGGCACAGCAGGGTGAGACAGTGGTGTTGTGGTGCGAGTTGTGCAAGGCCCGTGGCGATGTGGTGTGGCTGAAGGATGGGCGGGTGCTGGAGCCTGATGCACGCCGCGAGGTCCGGGTGCAGGGCCGGGAGCGCTCGCTGGTGCTGAGCTGTGTGAGGCCTGAGGACGCTGGGGAGTACTGCTGTGAGTCCAACAATGACCGCACGCTGGCCACACTGACGGTGCAGGGTAAGCATTACCCCGTGGGCTGGGTACCCCAAAACCCTGTGCTGTGGGCATGTGCCCTGATGGCCACACTCAGTGCGCAGAGTGGTGGAGATCATTGTGGAGCTGCAGAACCTGATGGTGCTGGAGGGAGACGATGCCACCTTCAAGTGCATGGTGTCCCCCGAGGACGTGGCGGTGACATGGCAGCTGGATGGGCAGCCAGTTGTGCCCAGTGAGCGGCTGCAGGTGGCCAGGAGTGGGCTATGCCATAGCCTCACCATGCGGGGCTGCCAGCCAGGCGACGCAGCCACTGTGACAGTCAATGCTGAGGGGCTGCTGAGCACAGCCCGGCTCAGTGTGCATGGTAAGCAGGATAGGAACAGGGCAACGGGGCATCTGGAGGGCTGTGCACTGATCCCCTCATCCGTGCAGAGGCGCAGGTGCTGTTTGTGCAGAAGCTGCGGGACATGGTGGCCGAGGAGCAGCAGGATGTGTGCCTGGAGGTGGAGGTGAGCCATGAAGCAGCTGAGGTGCAGTGGCTGAAGCAAGGTGTGCTCCTGCAGCCCAGTGACAAGTACCTGATGTGTGAGTCGGGGTGCCGGCGCACCCTCACCATCTGCTGTGTCAGCCCCTCTGACCGTGGCACCTACCGCTGCGAGAGCCTGCATGACCGCTCACAGGCCAAGCTCAGCGTGGAATGTGAGTACCCTGCAGGATCATCCTGATGACAGGATGCTGCGGGGCGCCCAGGAACAAGGACTGTATTTGGGGATTGCTCCAGCAAAGACTGGGGTTGAGGGGCCCTGTGCTAGGGCACCACTCGTCAGCACTGTCCCCATCCCTCGCAGCCCAGAAAGTGTCAATCCGGAGGCCACTGGCTGATGTGGAGACCTTCGAGAAGCAGACAGCCACCTTCCTGCTGGAGCTGTCTCACGCCGGTGTGCCTGGGGTCTGGACACGTGGTGGTGTGCGGGTGAAGCCCGGTGCCACGTGCCGGGTCAGTGCCACGGGCTGTACACACAGCCTGACGCTGGAGGGGCTGGCACTGGAGGACTCAGGCACCATCACCTTCACTGCTGACACTCTGCGCTGCAGCGCCCGCCTGCTCGTGCGGGGTATGGCACTGGGGTAATGGGGTATGGCACTGGGGGCGTGATGCCAAGGCTGAGGAGGGCACACAACCTTCCCATTGAGGAGATGGGTGCTTAGCAGTGGGGAGCTCGCCTATAGAAGTGCCCAGGGAAGGGTCACCCCTACCCTGTACTGATACCCCAGGCACTGCCCCTGTGCCCTGGTACCAATGCCTTTCCCTCACTGACCCTTCCCACCACACTGTCTCCCCTCAGAGCCTCCCATCAGCATGGTGAAGCTCCTGCAGGACCTGGAGGTTCCAGAAGCAGGGACTGCCACCTTCGAATGTGAGCTGTCCCGTCCCAGCGCTGAGGTGAAGTGGCTCAAGGTGAGAGCTCATGTCCTCCCCATCCAGGTGCCACCTTCTCTGCAAGGCTGTGCGCAGGGTGGAGGGAACCAACCAAGCCAACCTTGACCACACTGCCTAAACAGGATGGAATGGAGCTGCGGCCAGGCCCCCACTGCCGCATGTACTCTGCGGGTCGGCGCCGCCTCCTGCAGCTCAACCGCTGTGCACTGCCTGATGCCGGCATCTACACCTGTGAGGCAGGTGACTGCCAGGCCTCCGCCACACTGCGTGTCCATGGTATGGTTGCTGGCTGCCCAGCTTCATGCCACAGAAGGGACTGGCACCCAGCTGGCCCCAGCACTGTGTCCCTGTCCTGCAGAGCACCAGGTCCACATAATGCAGGAGCTGCAAGATGCTTGTGTGCAGGAAGGTGACAATGCCGTGTTCATGTGTGAGGTGTCCCATGGTGATGTTCTGGGTGAGTGGTTCCATGATGGGGAGAAGATCAAGGTGTCCAGCACAGTGAAGATACGGCAAGAAGGTACTGTGCCTCCCACACTGGGCAGCATGCCCCATACCCCATTTTGGGGCTGGGGATGTGGGAATTCAATGTGCCCAACCATCTCCACCGCCCTCTCCAGGCACACGGCACTTCCTGCTGCTCTGCACCGTGCGCCCTGAAGATGCGGGTGCCATCCGTTTTGTGGCCAGGATGGCTAGTTCAGAGGCCAGCCTGAAGGTGGAAGGTAGCAGGCGTGCATGGTGGCATCATGGGGCCATGGGGGGCAGATGCTGATTTCCCCTCCCTATGCCCCAGTGCTGCCCATCCGCATTGTGAAGCCGCTGCGGGACAAGACGGTGCTGGCGCGGCACAAGGCGACGCTGGAGTGCATGGTGTCACACGCCCGGGGCCGCGTGCGCTGGCTGCGTGGAGACACCGAGATCTTTGCCAGTGATAAGTATGAGATCTGCAACCTGGACTGCTATCGCACACTCATCATCCACTGTGTGGGACGTGAGGACGAGGACTCGTACACCTGCGATGCCTTCGATGACCGCTCCACCGCACGGCTCCTGGTGGAAGGTGAGCACGTAGAGGGATGCAGTGGCACTGGCACCCATGTCCATCTGTCCCACCCACTCCTTCTTTGGGGATCTGATCCCTGGATGGGGGTCTGTGCTCCCCCTGCTCCCCAACACACTTTGTCCCTGCAGGGAGTTAGAAGCTGGGGTGCACACGGAGTGCACGGACCTCAGGTCCCCCAGCCCCTCGGTGCAGCCCTCACCTCGGCACAGCATTCTGAAAGGCTCTTTACTGTGTGGCCGTGGCCTCAGCAGCGTTTGGCACATTTACAAAAGAGGCTGAAAAGGGGGACGGCGGCGGCGCGGCGCTGCAGAGACGGCGTGGCAGAAACATGCAGTTCCTGGGGTGGCAGCCGGGGACGGGACAGCACCCAGGGGCACCCCACTCTGGTCCCCCCACATCCCGCCTGCGGGGAGGTCCTGGCTCACTCCGTAATAAATTAATACAAATCACAGCAAGAGAAGTATATACAAGGTGGGAGCCTCTGTCTGCAGCGATGCTCTGAGCAGGGGCTCCTGCCCTGCCCCGCAGAGGTGCTGCCCCCAGGGCCCCCCAGCCGCTATAAAATCCAGTCGCCAGCAAAACAGCGATGGCCTCTGATGCCGGGGGGACCCTGGAGCAGCCCAGCCTCTGCCTGAAGGCTGCATCCTTGCTCCCGTCAAAACATTCAGGGGAGTGCGCACAGTGCCCAGGTGGGGCAGAGCCCCAGTGCTGTTACCCCACAGCAGCAGCCCCATGCCCTGGCAGCCTCTGCCCAAGTCTGCCCCACTTCAGCCCAGGAAAATAGGGACGCAGGCAAGCTGCTCTGGAGGCAAGGAAGGTGTGTAGGGCAGGAACCTCTAACGGCAGAGTTTTGGGAGTGCTGCCTGGGGTGGGATGGGGCACACATGCTCAGGGTAGTCACGGTGGGAGCAGGGGTTTGGGGAGCTGCTCTCTGAAGAAGGGACATGGGGACAGGCACTTGGGGAGTCGCTGTGGGGTGTGATGGGGAGGGAGCAGGCACAGGGAGCTGCTCTGGGAGGGCTTGAACATGGAGAAGAGGGTGTCAGGGTACAGAAGGAGTGTGCCCAGGTCATGGGGAAACGTGCAGCAGAGCTGCTCACACCACATTCTGTGAGTCCACGGGAGCTCGTAGCCCCAGTCCGTGGGCTGAGTTTCTGCCTGGGGGTGTCCCCAGCATGGCTGAGTCCCGCGGGCATCCTGGGCTCACCAAGATGAGTCCCGTGCTGCCCCAGGAAGGTTCTCCATCCATAGCCTCCACAGTCCTGAGGCTGAAGAAACAGCCCCATGTGTCCAAAGAGGTCTGTGGGAGCAGGCTGGGGTGCTGGTGTCACTCGAGGTCACTGGGTTGGCTTATACCCGCATGGCAGGGCCGGAGCCTGTGGTGAGGGGCACAGTGGAGCTGCAGTCATAGTCCAGGTCCACCACGGCATGGGAGCTGGCAATGAGGCTGTTGAGGGATGGTCCCGTCTGCCGCTCTCGGAAACTCTGGATATAGCTCTGCATGAGAAAGGGCCAAAGGGTGAGCAGGCTCTGCTCCCGGCCCGCTCAGTCCCGTCCCGTCCCGTCCCGTCCCATCCCATCCCATCCCATCCCATCCCATCCCATCCCATCCCATC